TTATTCGTCTTTATTTTTCCAACCTTACTAAACGAAAAAAAGCATTGAATATAATTGAGAAAAAACAAGAAACTTTTCTTAACAAATTAGAAGACGCGTCAGAAAAGGTTAAACAAAAATTTGCAGATTTTTGTTATCAATATGATACATATTCGGATGATAACATGTGTCACTATCGAAAGATTGCACGTGAGCAAGATTTTGAGTTGGTTGGATAGTATAGAATAAATAAATCTCAAATATACAACAACATAGAAATTACCTTTAAAGATATAAAAAAAATTAAACTCACAAAACCCATACTATTGGTTTTATTGTATTGGGATATTGAGAGTAGCAGCATGAGAGGTCCAGGATATTTACCAGTAGGAGAAAATTACGAGAATTATATATACATGATTCAGATAGATTTTTTTTTTTTAACAGAACAATCACCATTTAAATGTTTCTGCATAACTACGATTTCGATATAACAAATATTATTAGATGAAAAATATTTGTTAAATATTGATATCATTCATGTTAGTTTACAAGAAGAATTGATTAAAACATTTTTCGAAATATATAAAGTATATTCACCATCATTTGAATTAGGATACAATATGGGAGGATATGATTGGAATTTTCTTTTGAATAAGATTCATCTTCTGAAGATAGAATTAAATCTTGAAATACAGAACATTAGAGAAAGTATGATAAAAGTATCTGAAAAAGATATTGATGAGAAGATGAGTAGACAATTTTTAGATATTAAATCTAACAATCGAAGTATAAAAATAAATCCAACTGAAACGATGGTTTGTGAATATTACCAGATGAAAGGAACAGTATTTTTAGATCTTTTGGTTTGGGCTCGAAAGACATTTCCAACTAAGATAAAAAACACATTGAATGTTGTATTAAAAAGATGTGGGCTTTTTGAAAAAGTAGATCTTCCTTATATTCCAAAAAAGGAGAATTTACAAAGTATGTTTGTCTATGTGAATGCGATTAAATTTAGAAATAATATTCAACATTTAAGCCGATTAGCAGAACAATTATCAAATTTAACAAAAATATCATTAGAAAGATATAAAGAAGCTTTGATAATTAACAATGATTCTGTATTAGAAGAATATGGTATTGAATTAGTGTATTATTGTTCTATTGATACTTTACGATTATATGAATTGGTTTTGAAACAAAATATAATTGGAGATTATATACAACTAGCAACTTTAACATGCACAACGATATCGAATATGTTTATAAATAGTGTTGGTTGTTTGGTATGAAATTTTTATAGAAGATATGCTGCAAGAAATGATATGTTAATATCAAACCGTAGAAAAGGTGAAATTGTTGTAAAACAATCTCAAGGAGGTTTAGTTTTAGTTCCTACAACTAATTTAAACAATCGACCGGTAGCTGATGTTGATTTCATATCTTATTATCCTAATACGATAATTACGAACAACATATCGTTAGATATACGTATTAATATTGATTCTACAACAAAAAATTTAAATATAATTTCTGATTTAGATCAAATATATAGTAAATTTATTCAACATAATGGAGAAGAAAAAAAGATGGGTTTAATGCCCTTGATGTGTAAAATGTTGCTAGAAGAACGGGCAAAAGCCAAACAAAATATAAAAAAATATTTTCAAGATAAACAATTATATCTTTATTACAATTCTTTATCTAATGCTCTCAAGATATTGGCAAATTCAATATATGGTGAAACAGAATATAGATATTCACCGCTTTATCATAGAGATGTATCTTTGTCTGTTACGGGTTTTGCTTATTCAAATCTTTGAAGAATGATCGATCGAGTATGTGAAAAATAAAAGCTACATAATAATTTATGGTGATACAGACTCATTTTTTTATACGATTCCAGAATATTTTTTTACACATTTGGATCAAAAATATAAGATAAAAAGAAATATATCACCGATGATACAAAGAAAGATGAAGCAACTTCATTGGTACGAGATGGTGAAAAAAACCATAATACAATCAAAAATTCTCGAAAAAGAGATAAACAAATATTTACAAAAGATAACGAATCATTTGTACCTAAGAATAGCGTATAAGAAGACAATGATGCTAGCATTATACCTTCATAAAAAACAATATTGTGGTTGTGTGCATGAGAACGAAGTTGAATTTGACAGACCAAAACTTCTGGTTAAAGGTCTCAAATTGGTGAAACGAAATGTATCAGAATTTTATAAAGTAGTTGCGGAAGAGCTGATCTGGTTTTCATTAGGATATGAGGATAAACAAATTTCGATTTTCAATACGAGTTTGAAAGAAAAAACATTACAAACCATATCCAAATATATTGATGAAGATAAAGTATCTTTAGAACTCTTTAAACTTACAGCCAAATACGATCCTACAACCAATCAACAGGTAAAGGATTTTTGGAATATGGAAGAACGTAGAATAAAAGATGATGAAACCAAAAAAGGAAATAAGATCGTAATTTCATATATGACCAAGATGGCTGATTATAGTATTACGATCGATTGAACATGAACGTTTCTATTATTTTGTAATTCACATTCCAAATATGAGTGTTGTATCACATAGGATGCGTCCATATGATTATTTCATAAAAAATCGAATAACAAAAAAACTTCATATAGATATACTTATTATTTTAATAGTTTATGAGATATTTGTGCATCACTATTAAGATGTGAAGTGAAGAAAGCTCAAGAAATGATTCAAGAAATATTTGACGTGAACGAAAATAAGAAGCAGTTGAGGATTACAGACTTCACAAATCATATTATAGAATCTTCTTCAAATAAAAGAAAACACGAAGAAAAATCTTGTTCGAAAAAACAAATTAAATTAGATGTTTATTTTAACAAAAAATAAAAAAATATAAATTAACCAGTTATTAACCAGTTAATTTTTTTCATGATTAAAAAAATATCGATTGTTGAAAGACCAAATTTGTTAATGTCATTAGCTTACAAGCTTCATTATATAATTTTTCTTGATATCTATAAAAAAAAAGATCAATATAATCTTGGTAGAACATGCAAACATTTGTGGGAAATTTATTTAAAAACACTCATTGATTCTAATTTTTATTATTACTACGAAAATTATCACACATTTTTACGTCGAGAGATATTATTTTATAAATTCAAATATATTGAAAAGACCAAAAAATCAGAATTTGTTTATTTTGATAAAAGATATCAACGGTGTGAATTTTGTAAACAAGCAAAACTTAATTGTGATTATCAAATAGAATGTAGACTCTGTCAAAAGAAAAATCGAAAATGTATTAAAAAAAAACTATTTATTCAGAAAACTCTTTTCAAGAATGATAAAGGAGAACAATTTATTAGAATATTAGATAAAAGATGGTCTAATAGAAATATGTTTTTAAAATATTATGAAGATATAGCTGATCTTGGAAAACAAACCTGTGATAAATATTCTAAATGTGACTTTTGTGGTTCTTGTACTATTTTTAATAATCGATGTGATATTGATTTGTGTTTTTTCAGAAGAAATCATATAGATAACTCAAATTTTGTGATAAATCTTTTTAATGTCAATATATTATCACATATAAATCTTACACATATCTACCATCTTTGTCAAAATTGTTTTCATAATTGTCCTAAACAAACACAGATTAAAATAGTAAATAATTCAGATTGGAGAGCTGTTTAAAGATGAAATATATAAAATTTGATCACAATGTTATTACTTGCAACATTTTTTCTTTAATGCAAAAATTTTATTAAGCAAATCAGCAATCAGAAAACATAATCAATTTTCTTAAAGAAATTTCTCAATTCGATAAAGAAATATTTAAAAAGTTTATTTCTATTCAGGAAAAAAGAAAATCACTTTATACACTGATAAAATCTGAATTTGATTATATATTAAAAATACAAACGGTTGAATCGTTTGTTGTGTTAGAAGAAATAGTTAAATACCAAAATACAATCTATATTATCAAACATGTATTCTATTAGAATTTAATTAACTATTTGCTTATTCTCTACTCAGTTTAAATCGAGTAGAATTTATTTATTCAACAATAAAGATGAACATTAACAATCTACCAAACGAAATTCTAATTTTAATACTATACAATATCTTTCGAACAAAAATAATACTATCTGATTTACCAACCACCCTATTGATCAAATTAGTTTGTAAAAAATGGTTTGATTGTTATCTTTCATTGTTCAAGAATCATGGAACCAAATATATTTTACTACGTGATAAAGATTATACTCCCGTTGAAAAAACTAAATATTATTTTTATTATGACAAAAAGATTTTTTTAAAATATAACAAAAAGAGATATGAAATTCCCTCTGCTTATTTTAATTCATTACGTTTATTTGATTTTTTATTTCTAACTTTCGAATATTCCAAAAGAGAATGTGAACGATGTTTAGAAAAAACAATTCTTCATACATGGGGCATATGGTTTCTAGATAAATTTTATGATTGTAAAGTGTCAAAATGTAAAACAAAAGATCAAAAATTTTATTATCACGAGATTTGTAAGAAATATAAAATTTATCGCCTAAATTTAGATATTGATTTGATTAAATCAATAGAAAATCAAGTATATTTTTTTAAGAGTTACTTTGTTCTATTAGAATTTAATTATTTTTTTTTATTTTATATAATAAAATTATCTGATTAGTTTTGACCAATTAGATTTTTTTTAATCAATGTGGTTTTAAATTTCTATTTAAACCCAATATCTTCTATTTATTAAGACTAAAAAAATATTATTAAAGGTGAGAGAGCTTCTAACTATATTTTGTTTAGAAATTCATTTTCTTTACTTTATACTAACTCTTACTGGGACTGATTATCTGTCAATCGATTGACTGACCAATTCATTTTTTTAGATGCCAAAAACTAAACCAGGATATTATCAGTACGAAAAGAACGTAAACCAGGAATTTATTTAACTTGGGATGAATATAAAACGCAAGTTAATAAATTTTCTAATGCGGTTTATAAAAATTTTCTACTCGTATCCAAGCTCAAAATTTTATTAAAGAAAAACATGATGTTTCTGTTATTTTAAATAATAGTAAGATTCAAATTTGGACAGATGGATCATCATTTAACAATGGTACCAAAAAAGCTCAAGCAGGTATCAGAGTTTTCTGGAAAGATAATCATCCTAATAATTTGAGTGAAAGATTACCAGGATCAGAACAAACTAATAATCGTGCGGAAATATATGCTATAATTCATGCTCTTGAAATTTGTGAAAATAAAACAAAACCTTTAGAAATAATGACAGATAGTAAATATGTAATTAGTATAATTG